ATAATGTAGTATAGGTGTGTAGAAGGCTATACCACTTGTTTTTTTAAGGACACTCTTATGTTAGCATGACAAAAACACCTAGCAATGTGTTTCTCAGGTCTCTGTCATTACATGGCCTGTGATTTTATATGAAAATAAAGATCCACATTTCTAAAAAGCAGGTGATTTTTCGTCAAACACAGTGCTTAATGTAATTGTTAAGATGTAGACAACTTAAACATTCAACATTTAAACTGCCTTTTCCAAAGCTAAACTCCTAGACTTTATTTTCCAATGGTGACTGTATCATAAATCAGCTAAAGAATGAATATTTCAAATCTGAATTTCCTTAAATGTTAACCAGTCAATAGTTCAATTTCAGCAAAACTATTTTACTAGTAATGTTTGTTTTTGTAGCCTTTTAAGTGTTCTATTACATTTCACCCTTAAAATTTCAATTTTAAAATTAGCAGATAGAAAATAAACAATTGACTCTCTCACTGTCCACTCTGCCTGTCAAAAAAAAAAAAAAGAAAGAAAATAAACAATTGAGGTCATGTATTGCTTATGTGTTTCATTGTGAAGAAAAAAGACTTAAAAACAATGTAATAAAACCTAGAAACCGTTCATTAATTTGTCTACAAGTTAAGATATCTATGAAAAGAAATCTTATTACAAGTGAATCAACTGTTTAACTCTGTCATATTTAATCTTCAAATGTGACTTTGGTAACACAAGAGGGTACTCCAAAGTTCATGAAAGCGTGAATTAAAATATGTTTATTTTGGTGCAGAAAAACACTTGAAATCCATGCAGAGAACATTATTTAGTATACATCTTCACTTCTACTCTTCCTTCAATGAAAAATATGTATCTATACCTTTCATAGTTTTACCTCAGAAGTAATTATAAGGAATTACTGAGTGCTTTAAATATACAAATTTAGATTTTCAGGTTATTGAAATTACAAAAAAAAAAAGAACAACAAACAGTCATCAGGAAAGGAAGAAGAAGAAGAAGAGGAAGAAGAGGAAGAGGAGGAAGAGGAGGAAGAAGAAGAGGAAGAAGAAGAGGAAGAAGAAGAGGAAGAAGAAGAGGAAGAAGAAGAGGAAGAAGAAGAGGAAGAAGAAGAGGAAGAAGAAGAGGAAGAAGAAGAGGAAGAAGAAGAGGAAGAAGAAGAGGAAGAAGAAGAGGAAGAGGAAGAGGAAGAAGAAGAAGAAGAAGAAGAAGAAGAAGAAGAAGAAGAAGAAGAAGAAGAAGAAGAAGAAAGAACCATTAAATGAGTACCTAAGTGGTATTCAGGGGCCAGCATTGTGCCACAGGGGTTAGGCTGCTATTTGCAAGGCCAGCATCCTGCAGTGGGCATCCCTTATCAGAATACTGATTTTGACTTCCAGCTGTTCCATTTGGTATCTGGCTTCCTGCTAATGTGCCTGGGAAAGTAGCAGCAGCAAAAGAAGATAGCACTAGTATTTGGGTCCCTTCAGTCTACATAAGAGGCCCAGCTGTAGCTATTGCACGCATTTTGGGAATAAACCAGTGGATGAAAGCTTTCTCTCTCTCTCTCTCTCTCTCTCTGCATGTGTGTATGTATGCCACTCTGCCTTTCAAATAAATGTTTCTTAAAAGATTTACTTATCTATTTGAGAGGCAGAGTTACAGAAAGAGAGAGGGAGAGAGAAAGAGGTCTTTCATCCATTGGTCCACTCCCTAAATGGCCATAACAGCTGGAGCTGGGCTGATCGGAAGCCAGGAGCCAGGGGCTTCCTTTATGTCTCTCATGTGGGTGCAGGGGCCCAAGCACCTGGGCCATCCTCCATCGCCTTCTCAGGCCATTAGCAGGGAGGGGGTCCAGAAGTGGAGCAGCTGGGACTTGAATCTGTACCCATATGAGATGCTGGCACCACAGGCGGAGGCTTAACTCACTACACCACAGCACCATCCCCTCAAACAAATATTTTTAAAAAGAAAGGGAACTCTGATGTTATACTTCTGAAAGTCATTTGCATTTTTTGCATGACTGAACACCAATCCTATCTTCCATTTACTGCTTTGCTCCCCAGTTGGCTGCTCCCTAGTTGGCCTCAGCAGCTGGGCCTGGTCCAGATTGATGTCAGGAGCCTGGAGTACTATCCAGGTCTCCAATGTGGATGGCAGGGGCCAACTTCTTTGGCCCACTTCCACTTCCACTGTTTTCCTCAGGCATATTAGCAGGAAGCTAGATCAGAAGTGGAGTAGCGGCCGGTGCCGTGGCTCAATAGGCTAATCTTCTGCCTGCAGTGCTAGCACACCGGCTTCTAGTCCCGTTCGGGGTGCTGGATTCTCTTCCAGTCCAGCTCTCTGCTGTGGCCCGGGAGTGCAGTGGAGGATGGCCCAAGTGCTTGGGCCCTACACCCCATGGGAGACCAGGAGAAGCACCTGGCTCCTGGCTTCGGATCAGCACGGTGCGCCGGCCGCAGCGTGCCGGCCGTGGCGGCCATTGGAGGGTGAACCAATGGCAAAGGGAGACCTTTCTCTCTGTCTCTGTCTCTCACTGTCCACTCTTCCTGTCCCCCCCCCCAAAAAAAAATGGAGTAGCCAGGATTCAAACTAGCACTCCAATTTGAGATGCCAACATTGCAGGTGGTAGCTTAGCTGCTATGCCACAATGCTGTCCCCTGATTGTCTAATTTATAAATTAAACTGTAGCATGGGTATGAATGTATAGGAAAAAACATAGTGTATATGAGGTTCAGTATTATCCATGGCTTCAGGAATCCACTAGACAGCTTGGAATGCATATCTGGTGAATACAAAGGCATCAATGCACATTTACTACATCATTCAGCAGTCATTAGTCAAAGTTATTTCCTTCTATCTTCAAATTTTTTTTTTATTATTTCAAAAGGGGGAATGTGCATAGAGTCATGCCATGAAGAACAAAGGAAGAAAACCCACAGAAAAGGTGAAAATATCTGCGAACCATATGTCTATAGTGGATCAGAATATGGAACAGAGAGAGCTATTATAAATCAATTGTAGAAAAATTAAAACAAAGGACTTGAATAGACATTTCTACAAAGTGGATATATAAACACCCAATAATTCATGAAAATACTTGACATATTAGTCACCAAGGAAATGCAAATCAAAGTCACTTAGAGACACGCTTTCACAACTACTAGGATGGCTATACTAAAAAAAAAGGCAGACAAAACAACTGTTAGTGTGGATGTAGAGAAATGGGAACTCTTTTCCATTATTGGTGGAAATGTAAATACCGACACTTGGAAAGTAGGTTGGCACTTTCACAAAATGTGCAATACAGGACTACCACACAATCTACCAATTTCATTCTTAAGTATAACCTAAGAAAAATGAAAACATATGTTGATGGGGATGGCGCTGTGGTGCAGCAGATAAAGCCACAGCCTGCAGTGCCAGCATCCCATATGGGCACTGGTTCTAGGTCCCGCCTGCTCCATTTCTGATCCAGCTCTCTGCTTTGGCCTGGGAAAGCAGATGGTCCAAGTCTTTGGGCCCCTGCACCCATGTGGGAGACCTGGAGGAAACTCCTGGCTCCTGACTTTGGATCAGTGTAGCTCTGGACATTGAGGTCAACTAACCAGCAGATGGAAGGCCTCCCTCTCTCTGCCTCTCTGTCTCTCTATGTAACTCTGACTTTCAAATAAATAAATCAATCTTAAAAAAGAAAACATACGTTGACACAAAAATTTGATATGAATGTTCACAGCAGCATTACTCATAGTTATCAAAAATGTGGAAATAACCTAAATGCCCAGCAACTGATGAATGGTTAAGCTGTGGTATATCTCTACAGTGGGAAAGTTACTTGGCAATTGAAAGACACTATTACAAACTCCAATGAATGAACTTCAAAAATCTACAGGCTAAGAGAAAAAAGCAGTTACTACAAACCACATGTTGCATGATTCAATTTATTTGAAGTGTCTAGAATAGGCAAATCTACAGAAACAGTAATAGATTAGGGAGTGCCTGGAGCTAAGGGTGGGGAGGATGGGGAGTGGCTGCCTTAAGAGTCTTCTATTTGGGGTGACAAAATTTTCTAAAATTACTTTATGGTGATGGTTGCAAAACTGCAAATATACTGAAACAGGAAACTATACAATTTAAAGGTGGATTTTATGATATGAAGCTTTTGTCTCAGTGAAGCTGCTTAAAAAGAAGAAAAGTATGCAATAACACAACTATTTCTTGGTGCCACTGAAGACTAAATAGTAAGAGCATGCTCAGACTGTTTATCCCTTTAACAAATCGTTTCTGGACTTCAAACTAAAACTAAAGCCATGAAAATAGAGTCATTGAAGCAACTGAGTTCCAACAGAAGGCCACTGAAAAACGTGCATTTTTAGGAAAATGTGTCTACGAAACGAGATACCACAGAACACAGATCTGAGCAAAGTCTTCAGCAAGCAACAGACAAATGTCTTTCAATGCCACTACAGGTCCAGTTAAAGCTGACCTGTAAAAGCAGCACCGTTTCCAAGTGCATAAGCATCTTAAACTGATAGACCTTAAAGTCAGCCCTCGCATGATTAACAAGCATCTGAAAGCACTATCAGTAATCCGCAGAAAGGCTAAAGGAGTGAGGGCCAGTTCCGTGGCACGTGGGATCGCGATCCTGATCTTTACCGCGCGGCTCCCTTTGGGAGACCCTTTCTGCTTTGGGGTGGTGCCCAGCGCGCTAGCCTGGCCTCTCCGAAGTACTCATCTGTCCTGCAACACAAGGGAGCAAGGAGGGTGTCCTGGACTCGAGGGAGTCACAGAACGCAGGTGCTAGGCGCGCGGGAGCGGCAAAGCAAATCGTGGGAGCTAAACCCACCCCAGGCACATTCAAGTCAGAGGCGGTCTACGCTGCGGTTCCCCGTCTCGCGCGGGGACGCCACGCCGCGAACGTCCCCGGCGCTGGCCGCAGGTCCACCAACGTCCCCCGGGGCTCAGCGCTGGGGACGGCGGAGTCCACGCGCGCAGCCCCGCCCTCCCGCCGGCGGGCTCCTTACCTTCCTCCTGCACCATCTCCAGGAGGTTCGGGTCACCCATCTTCGCTAGCTCGTTCATGACACTGAGGCCGGAGAGGCAGCTCCCAACCGGCCGCTGCGACAGGCGACGAGAAGGCGTGGGGCGGATACTGAATCTGATTGCCGGCTGCCGGAACTGCGCGTCCGACACCCGGACCTTGAAGATGTCGGGACTCTCCCTGCAGGGCGAGGACTTGTCCTCCTCCACAGACTCCACGAATCCCGTGCTCTGCAGCCAGTTGGACTTCCTCTCCAGCTGGTACTTCCACTCGACCTTGCCCCCCTGCACCTGCCCCGCGCCCTTGGGCCTGCGCTTCGATTTCTTCTGCCGGTAGCGCTCCCTGCCCCTTTCCCAGTAGGCCTCCCAGTACCTGTCCCGGAGCTTGCCCTGCTTCTCCCCCTGGCTGCGCCGGTCCGGGCTCTTTCCACTACTGACCTCCCGTTGCGGGCCTTTCCCGAGCGCTCCTTCGCTCTCTCTCCGCCCCTCTGCCCGCCTCCAGTCCTCCTGGGCCGCCATCTCCCCGCCCCTCGGCGACCCGGGCTCTACGCCCGCCGCCTCCTCTCCGCTGGGGCCGTCGGAGCTCGCCGACTCCGGCTCCGCCGCCTCCGGAGCCACCCCGAGGCCCGCCTCCCGTCGCTCCTCTGGGGCGGCCCCCGCGGGACCCGCCGCCTCCCGGCTCCCCTGACCGGCCACCTCAGTTCTCAACAGGCTCCGCCACTCCCATTCCTCCAGGTCGACCCTGGGCCAGGACTCGGTGCTCACTGGGGCTTCCGCCCCCCTACCCTCTGAACCCTCCTCTTCCTCCTCCTCAGAAACCCGGCTGGCTGGGTCCTTATCCATCGCTAGGCTCTCAGCTCACCGCGAGTGCCCCTCGGAGAGAACCCCTCCCGCTTCGGGAGTTACTTTTTGTCGGGGGAGGAAAAAGTTCCCCGCCCTTAAAGAGCCCCCTCCCCCTTTAAGGCTGGCTCGTGGCCGCCGGGGTCTCCGAGGTTCCGACAACCCCTCCGCGCCCTCGGGCCCCTGGGCGCTACCGGCTTCCTTGAGAAAGGACAAGCTCTCTTCTACAGGTGAGGAAAGGTCACACCTGTGCCCCGATTTCGAAGTCAGCCTCTGCCAGCTTTAAAGTTGGAGCGTGTTGGGCAAGTTCCCATCAGCTGCAGTTTCCAGGTCGTCCAGTGACAACAGCACTCACCTCCTGGAGGATGGTGTGAGGAGCACGCTACAAAGGCTTGGCATACAGAGTGTTAACGCTTTCCGCCGCTCCTAAAAGGAACCCGTGCTGCTTCGGGTCTCCACAACTCCAACCTGGAGCAGGGTGCGTGGTCCTGAAGTAGGTGAGGTAGCGGTCTGAGCCCACAGCCTTGAGAGTGCTGAGCAGGGAGTGGCTGAAGTGAGGTGCCAGAGACCATCACCATTCCTCATCCCCCTGCTCCTACCTGTTTCTTTTCTATTCTATTTACTTTGTATACTGAATCAGCTTTTATAGACGAGGAAACAGGTTTAGCGAGAAGTGTCTTGTGTATGGTCATGGTTAACTGAGGAACTGGAAATCACTTTTTTTTTTTCTATACGGTGATATCTCTAACTTAAATATCAGGAATATATCTATTCTGGCCAAGAGGTTGGAGACTATAAGCAGTTTCTTCCTAGATGTAATTTGGAATTGTTTTTTACAGGTGTAACTATATTTAAGTTAATGCACAATAGAGTCCATATAATTACTGTAAGTGGCTTCAAGGCTGGTTCCTCAAGCCATCATACAAAAATTATTTTTTTTAAAAAAATTCTCATTTTTTTCAACCCTTCTTACACACAAAAGCAAATGTCTACCTAGCTACCTCAAAAGGAAGACATTACGTGTTGATTTTGTTCAAAATTAAATGGAATATTTTGATGCTGAGGGGCTTATATTTTATCTGCTTCTTCTACACTTTAACAAAGTGGAAAACCAGTTGTGTTCTTTGCATAGAAGTCTGTATCTTTTCCACCACTTTTTGCTTCTTGAGGAATATTTTCTGTGTTTGTATCACTGAAGTAGTTCATGCTGCTTTCCGTTCATAATTTTAGGATCTGTCCATTTCCTTCATTGTTACTCCCTGCCTCTGCACAGAATCGTCAACCATACATATCCAGAATTGTGTTCTGAATAACGAAATACTGTCGTTTCATTAAATTGAACAGAGTCAAATACTATTTTGGGGCCCCAAAGTCATTTTTTATTTTTAGCCTTCCAAACTTTTTAGCCTTCATTTGAATTATTAAAAGCACCTGATAGCACTTTCTTTTTTAAAGATTTGTTTTATTTATTTGAAAGACAGAGTTACAGAAAGAGAGACAGAGAGAGAGGTCTTCCATCTGCTAGTTCACTCCACAGATGGCTGCAACGGCTGGAGCTGTGCCATTCCGGGGCCAGGAGCAAGGAGCTTCTTCTGGGACTCCCACGTGGGTGCAGGGGCCCTAGGACTTGGGCCATCTTCTACTGCTTTCCCAGGACACAGCAGAGAGCTGGATCAGAAGTGGAGCAGCCAGGACTAGAACCGGTGCCCATGTGGGATGCCGGCACTTCAGGCCAGGATGTTAAGCCGCTGCTCCACGATGCAGGCCCCTGATAGCACTTTTTTGACTTACCTTTTGTCAAAGACAAAGACTTATCTTTGTGTCTTATACTAAGCATAGCATGCAAAAATACTTAAGTGATTACACGCAGTCGTAAAGATAAAGATAGCAATATTTTAGAAAATAAACTGTGAAATGGCAGCTTCAAATACTTGCTTGCCGACTCTCTATGTAAAGATATGAATTTGTTATAGGAAAGACCATTTAGGGCTGTCACAATATAACGTGGGGAAAAAGTCTGAGCTGTATGGTAGTGAAATATATGCACTAAACAACATCTGCATGTGTTTTTTTTTTTTTAATTATAGCAGCCTGATATAATCAGTATAGTTAACTCACTGTGAAGAGCTTTAATTTATGAGCTAAATTCTGGAAGCCAGAAAAGGCATCTTTCTAGTTAATACTTTCTCTCTTGGTATTTAAAAAATATGGCACCTCCTGTCTGTGGTCTGGATCAGTTTCCGTTCTCAGTTTCTCTACATATCATCAAAGCTTTAACCCCTAGGATAAGATTCTTTCTTTGTGACTACTTGTCATTTTCATTCATCTGTTTTACCTGTAAACTTGTCACTTACCCCAGATATTTTCAACATCACTGTAGCCCACATTCTTAAACAGTATATGCTAATGTATGGGCTTTGTACTAGGAGTCAGAAGACCTGCATTCTATTCTTGTGTCTGTTGCCTAATAAGGTAGGCAGCACAATAACCATAGATAGGTAACTTGGCTTCTTTGAACCCCAGATCCCTTCTCTGTGAATATTACATATCTGACCTGTTCCAGCCATCTCCTCAAGTTGTTGTAAAATTCAAATAAGTATGTGCATTGGGGACCAGCATCATGGCACAGTGGGTTAAGGCATCACCTGCGACCCTGGCATCCCATATGAACGCTAATTCAAATTCTGGCTGCTCCACTTCCAATCCAACTCCCAGTTAATGTGCCTGAGAAAGCATCATAAGATGGCCTGAGAAATTGGGTCCCTGTCATCCATGTGGAAGACTCAGAGGGAGTTCCAGGCCCCAAGCTTCAGCCTGCCTTAGCCATGGCCATTGAAGCCATTTGTGGAAGGAATCAGCAGATGGAAAATCTCTCTCTGTCTGTCTGTCTCTCTCTCTCTCTCTCTCTAACTCTCAAATATATCTTTTAAATGAAATTTAAATTTATTTATTTGAAAGGCAGAGTTACAGAGAGGCAAAAGCAGAGGCAGAGAGAGAGAGAGAAGTCCCCCATCTGCTGCCAAGTGGCAGCAACAGCCGGAGCTGGGCCGATCCAAAGCCAGGAGCCAGGCACTTCTTCCGGGTCTCCCACTTGGGTGCAGGGGCCCAAACCTTTGGGCCATCCTCCCCTGCCTTCCCAAGCACATTTGCAGGGAGCTGGATCAGAAGTAGAGCAGCCCATATGAGATGCCAGCAGTATAGACAGCAGCTTAACCCTCTGCAACACAGTTCTGACCCTGATAGACCATAGTTCATACCATAGCTCTCTCACATTTTAACTGTGTGATATTTGCTGAGTCTATGAACTTCTCTCAGTCTCAGTTTCCTTATAAATATGATAGAGGATATAATTCCTACCTCGAGTTTTTGGTGGATTAAATGTAGTGACATGTTTTTATTTGTCCAAATATTAAACCACAGGATGCTGTTTTCATTGCATTTATTTTTTGTTGAAGCTTGCTATAGTTAAAGTGATAGAGTTTTAGAGAAAATGGAGCTCTTTATTGTTAAATGTGTATTAATTCCTCTAATTTTCATGAAAGGATTTATTTTTATTAGGCTATAATACTTCTAGTAATTTATGGGGCAGACCCAAAGATTTCTGAACTTTAAAAGCAACTACCTGATGAATAAATATGTCTATACAGGGACTGGCATTGTGGCAGAGTGGGCTAAGCCAGCTCCTGCAATTCTAGCATCCCATATGAGCACCAGTTCAAGTCCTGACTGTTCCACTTCCCATCCAACTCCCTGCTAATTCACCTGGAAAATCAGTGGAAGATGGCCCAAATCCTTGGGGCCCTTCTACCAATGTAGGAAATCCAGATGAAGCTCCTGTCTCTTGGCTTTAGCCCTGGCCATTGCAGGCATTTGGGGAGTGAATCAGCAGATGCAAGATATCTCCCTCTCTCTCTCTGTCTCTCTCTCTGTCTGTCTCTTTCTAACCCTCTCTATGTAGCTCTGTCTTTCAAATAAATAAAGATTTTTTTAAAAATCAACACAAATATTGATTGAGCAATGGAAGCAGCTTTTAAGACCAAATGGACTCACACATTAGTTAACATTCTCCATGAAGTTATATTCAGGTGACTTTCAGTGCTGTAACAATGAAATAAAAGCTTCTAAGTAATGATAGGCTGCAGTTACAAGATAATTCAATGCTTGGGTTCAAATATGCAGTTGGACAATTCATATTTCCTTAAAACATAAAACTTTTCTAAAATTCCATGAAAGTCCTTAAACCTTCGGTTAAATAGAAAACCAACCTAATGGAAACAACATAGCTTTAAGTTAGTGCAAGCATAAAATGTAAGTCCACAAAAATTTGTCAGACCTTTTATAAAATATGTTTAAGAATATAGTATATTTTATTTTCAAAGTGCCTAATTTCTATGTAATTTCAACCTGTAGTACAAAGAGTGAAATTATTGCCTCCATGGTTATATCTCTGGTTTGATCCTTCTAATTATTTCTTCTTTTGGGAGTTCCACTCAGGGACTACATGGTTTTCACCAAAGATATAAAGCATCCAGACCACATTTGACTCCCCTGTTTGTAACTGAGCCAGATGTGGTTTGTAATCTGATATTTTAAGGAGGAGCTTGTTAATCACATCTTTTTTTAGTTCCCTTACTCCCTTATGCTAGGTATTTGTAAGCAAGCACAACAACAACAACAAAAAAAAAAAAAAAGAAGAAGAAAATAAAGACATACACAGATTAGTCATGACCTTAATCACTTGTATTAATACATGGAATATTTACTTCTCTGACAAATAACAGTCAGAATCTCAGTGACTTATTATTGAGTAGAAGAAAATTCTATGGTTTGAATATGGTTTGTTCTCCTAGAGGCTTGGTCCTCAGTGTGGTGATGTTGAGGTGGTAGAACCTTTCAAGATGGGGCCTAGTGGAAGGTGATTAGATCACTGGGGTGTTTCCTTCAGAAGGGATTCATGTAGTTATCTCAGTTAGCTCCCTTAAGAGGGAGTTAATAAGAGAGCTTGACCTACTCTTCATTCTCTGGCTTTGATCCCACTCATCCATGTTCTCACCATGATGCCATTACAATGAAGCCCTCACTAGAAGTTAAGCTAATGGAGCAACCCAATCTTCATGTTCAGTCTCCAAATCTAGAAGCCAGGAGCCAGGAGCTTCTTCCAGGTCTCCCACGGGAGTGCAAAGGCTCAAGGACTTGAGCCATCTTTCCCAGGCCATAGCAGAGAGCTGGAATGGAAGTGGAGCAGCTGGGACTCAAACCGGTGCCCATAAGGGATGCTGGTACTGCAGGTGGCAGCTTTGCTTGCTACACCACAGTGCCAGCCCCAAGAAAGAAAAGTCTTTCATCCTCTGGTTCACTCCCAAAATGGCTGCAATGCAGGAGCCAGGAGCTTCTCACCGGTCTCCCACGTGGGTGCTGGGGCCCAAGCACTTGGATCATGGATCATCTTCCACTGCTTTCCCAGGCAATAGCAAAGAG